CCAGAAGATAGTAGAGAGTTGTGCCTGGGAACTACTGGTCAGTCTGAAAAGATTCTGTAATAAGCGCTACCTAATAAACCTTGCTGACTGAACCTACACGGTCTCCAGGAGTTCCTTGGGCTAGGCCTGACACAGTGGCTGGAAAGGGCTGGATTAAAAGACACCATTGAGGCACTAATCACAGCAGCACAAGAACAGACACTAAGCACCAGATCCATAGGAGCAGGGGTCCAACACTCTAGGCAAGACCCAAGGTGCAGGTTGTGCACAGAGGCCTCAGAGACAGTCCAACACATAGTGGCAGGATGTAAGATGCAGGCAGGAACAGCATACATTGAATGGCACGACCAAGTAGCTGGCATTGTATACAGGAACATATGCACAGTGTATGGGTTAGACCCTCCCAAGCCCAGATGGGAGATTCCACAGAAGGTTTTGGAGAATAACAGGGCTGAGATACTGTGGGACTTCCAGATCCAGATGCAAAGGCAGGTACTGGCCAAGCAACCAGACATCGTGGTAGTAGACAAGGACCAGAAGACAGTGTTGGTGACAGTGCCAAGTGACAGCAACATTAGGAAGAAGGAGTATGAGAAGCTGGAGAATTACCCGGGCCTGAATGAGGAACTAGAGAGGATGTGGAAAGTAAAGGCCAAAGTGGTCCCAGTGGTGGTAGGAGCACTCAGGGCTGTGACTCCTAAGCTGGGACAGTGGCTCCAACAGATCTCAGGAACAAGATAGAGCTCTCTGTCTAGAAGAGTGCAGTGTTAGGAATAGCTAAGATACTGTGCAGAACCCTCAAATTCCCAGGCCTCTGGTAGAGGACCTGAGATTGAAGAAGACACATACCACCCACAAAGGTAAGAGGGGATTTTTTTTCCCTCAACCCTTTCTCCACATTGTGCTCCTAAGGCATGATTTCTTATAGAAATAAATAAATGAACAAAACACTTTATAAAATTATATTAAATAAAGTATGAATTAAATGAAAGAAAGATCCAGCTTGTAATTATACATTTGTAGGTTTAGTACTGAGTGTAGCACAGAGTGCAAGAATCAAAACCATTTGTAAGAAAAGCAAATGCTGAATTCTGATGAAAATCAAGGTTTTGCAAATTCAGATGATAGCTTGTCATCTTGAAGAATCACTTTGTAAACTGAACAAACCGAGGAAAGAAACAATGATATGTATGAATTCAGGTTGTGAATATTAGCAACATGTATCTAAAATAGTAGCTGTTGAGTGGAGTACATTTGGGATGGATTCTGAAGTGAACAGTAAGCTGTCAACCTCCATCTAAATCAGAAATTTCAAATGTATACCATATGGTTTTTCCTTCATGGAAATTTATGTTTTTTAGTATCAGCTTCTAGTAACTAGATACCTAAATTCTAACAGTGATATCAAAAATGTCCATTCTCCCAACTATTTAATCTAAAAACAAAACTATATTTCAAGACTGAGTCTATATTTTACAATGGGCTACCTCCAAGACAGAAATAAGGATGATTAAAAGAGAAAAAATGAAGTATTCCAGTAGCAAAAGTGTTGTTTGGAATGTTGATGTCACCGCTGTTGCCTTTCAGACTTTAATTTTCTTTCAAAAATTTACCTGAAATATTTTCAGTGGTTGTACTTCTAAATCAAGTTAATGGTTTTGCTGGTGTAATGGTACTTTCTTCTGTTCCAATGACATAGAATTTAACAATCAATGAAAACATTTCTAATTAAAGGAAAATTTCCAGTCTTGCAATGTAAAGATGGGCTAATAGGCATAGCAATGTAGCATCTTCATTCAACATAGTTTACTTAGCCCATAATGTGAAGTATATAAAGAAATAACTCTCCCAAGCTACACATCATCTTCTGTGTTGCCTATTCAAACATTGCCATATTGATGAATGCCATAAGAATTCAGAAAACGTCAAAACAGAATAATCTAATTCATTCCTTGAATGATGATCAAGGGAACAAAAAAGTAGTGGAGCAGCAGGAAAGTATGGCTCCTGTAAGATGTTCTCTAAGCACTGCTCCATGGTACAAACAGCTTGATGCAGAAAAAATTGTCAATGAAGAGGCACCACAAACTGCTACACAATATGAAGAAATAATGATGTTGCTAACTGTTTACTTAAGACCCTATATAGTAGGGGAAAAGTTCTAAAAAATCAGCAAGGCAATTTTTTTTAATAAATCCATCTTCAACAGGTCCTAGTGCAAAGCTTAAAATGCCACAGATGTTTTTAAAAATCAATGCTATATGGAGAATAATTGAAGAGAGCAAAGGAAGTCAGAGGAATGTTTTTCTTCCTCCCATTGTCTTTATTCCTAGAAAGCACATTTGGAAATGGTGTTTTACTCCTACAAAAGGAACACTTTCTAGCATCCTTTTGAACAGTACTTACTCAAATATGGTGGTTTGTAAGGCGCTCGTGTATTAGACAGCAGTCCATCCAGTTCCTTCCTCTCCAGGGTGCTGTGAAGGGCCTTCTCTTTGCCAAAGGTGGAGAAAGATCTCTCTGCCCCTGGCTGGGCTTCTGGTGTTTCAAACACTTCGGTGTCTGGAACAGAGTCCATTCCAGGTACATGAAGATTGCTGCGGTAATCCGCAGCCTGCCGTCCATCAGAAGGGACAAAAGAGGGCATCCAACACCGATCCGAGTGGCCCAATGCTTTACATTCCTCTGTGCAATTAGAGAAGAGATCCATGCCTATAAGCAGGAAAGAGAAAAACTGCAGATATAACCTTCAGTGTCATCACCTGCTGAAGGCATGGTGATCAAAAAAGATATTTTCTATCATCATCTTACCAGTAAAGAATTTTATTAATAAGTCTTCCAAAGACAGCCTTATTGTTTGAAAGAAAAAGAAAAAAGATAGGAAGTACAAGAATGCTCCACAACTGGCCAAATAATCATCAGATGACAACTGGGATCACTGTTATTAAAAAATTCTTGTGACCTGCTCTGCCAAGCCATCTAGGGACAAGTCCCACTTTCCGAAGGTGAAGGTGTCAGCTTAATGATCATCAACAGACCAAATAGGCCTAATACATATGTAAAGGTGTGGAATCATGTGAAAAATACTGATGGTGGGGAGAAAAATGCTGAAAATGTCTCTGAAAATTTCAACAGATTAAGCCACTCTATTTTTGAAGAAAGAACATGCTCCTCAGACTTTCTTCCACTTAATGCCACTACAGCCTTAAAATCACACTAGAAGCCTAAAAAGAAACTACTATAATTAGTGGCAAGTCTAATATGCCATAGATCCAGCTTGTACTGACAAATGTGTGAATGCTTACTCTATACCGATATAGATATATATCCCTGCCAACAGAAAATAGTATGCTTATAAATCCTTTTAAATCCATTCACTTCTCAAATGATAAGCAAGCTTTTTACTATGTACCTTATGATGGATATTTCAGCAGTTTAGTTTTCTAATGCAACTCATTTCTTAAAGAAATAGCAATGTAGTTAAATTGAACAGCCAATGCTTAATTGGGATAATATTAAGATGCATGTAATAAAAGTTAAAGTAGTGAAAACTTATTTCTTACAGTGTTGCTCAGAAAAGGAATGAAATATTATAGAGCTGGCTATGCCTGTACAACAAATGAGAAAAATCTCTTGCTGATTTGGTTCAACAATAATCATATTAAAATTACTTTCATATACATAGATAGCACCCATACCCTACACTCTGTAAGTCATTAATATGACATAAATGTTTAACTGTAGACCATACAGCACAGGAATTATTTGCTATAAAACAAGTATTACCTCTTCTGTGTCAGTCCCTGAGAATGGCAAATAGCTCCTTGAGATTATATTTTCCAGCTGAGGAATGCCTGCTTTTAGATAATGTTCCATCTATATGGATACATAATCCATACCATAAAGAATATCATTAACTAATCTCTTCAAACAAAAATAGGTTAGTATTCTTTTCTGCTAATCTTCAGTTTTAATTGGACCCATATTGGTAAAAGTACATATTTTTAGAAGAAATCCCACAAAGTTACCAGTAAGTACTGAAGAGCTGGGGATGTGCCTCAATTAATACTTTATAATGGAAATTTTATTTTAAATTAAAAAAATAAAGAATTTGGCTTTGTCTGAAATCTTCTACTGATAATTGCAATTGAAGAAATCTGGAAATAAATTACTAATCAATGAACTGTTGAGGAACGTACATGTGAAGAGCAACAGGAAATAAAATTTCAAAGGAGCAATGGAATACAATACAAGATATAATTATATATATACACACACACACGCACGCGCACACACACACATATTATAATATAAATGCCTTGTGAAATAAACGGGTAGGGTCAGGATCCTTGCAATCAATCAACTGTCAAGGGGCCTGACTCTGACAGGTAGTCTACTTACTGCTGGTACAACAGTAGATATATTTTAAGTATTTTTTATCGAGGAAATACTGTACCTATTTATATTGAATATAATTTATCAGACCAGCTTTGATCTACCTTGTGCCCTCCAGATGTGAGGGGATCCCAATTCCAATTCATCTGGAGGACAGATGAAGGCTGTACTGCTTAGTTCTCCAGGAGATATGAACATAATAAAATCAGATTTGAAAATCAGAATTAAATTATTTATAGCTTTAAAATGCGACAAAAGTAAATACAAAATCATATTATCTAGCAGGTTTCCAAATTTCATTTTAGTCATAATCACTAGATTTGAAATTCAGTTTCATTTCAGCTTTAAAAAAATCAAATAAAGAAAAAAAGTTCCTTGTTAATTTTCCTTCTACAATTTAGATTTTTACTAGAAACTATTTTCCATTTCACAGTTTCTAAGCAACAAATCCCTGTCATTGCTCATGTCAACTAAAGTGATTGGAACTTACTAAATTATGTATTCAAGTATATGATATAGTATATTAGTTTTTGTGATGGACTGGAATGGAGGAAGGGGGGTGAAAACGGTGCTCTCGTCTCCAGAGCAAC